GGCTGGTCATGGCACCCCCCATCCTGGTGGCACCTGGGGCGGACCGCCCCCCCCGCCCCCCCCTTAGTACGCCACTGAGCCACCCTCCAGGTTCTTACCTTTTCCTGGAGGGTGGTTTCCCTGGTCCAGTGGCAGGCTGAGGCAGATGGGAGTTCTCGTCTGGAACTCCCCTCCTCCCTGCCTTCCTCCTCCCGCGCGGCTATCTCCGGTGGGAGGAAGTGACGTCACTTCCTCCCAGCCGGCTGTAGAACCGGAAGAGGGGCCCGGTCGCACTGTTTAAGCGCCACAGCGCCTGACCGGGCCCCTGCTGACCCATGCTCCCCGGGTGGCCCTTAGTGCATGGGCCACCCGGGGAGCCTCCTCAGTGTGCGGGAGCCGCACCGCAGGGGCTGCGCAAATCGCGGGGCCCACAGAGCAGCTGCTCTGGGCCCCCAGGAGCAACTGGGCCCGGGGCAGATGCCCCGTTTGCCCCGCGTTAAAGACGGCCCTGTATTTAATATATACAACTGATCTAAGGTCTGTGTTTTGTGCTGAAATGTTATATAGCCTAATTCTACCAAAAACAAAAGCACTCTTGTACTGGGTAAGTAACTATTACATACTGTGGATTTTCAATTTCATTTTTTTAAATGAAGTAGATAAGAGAAACATACTGCCTTTGGCTTTGTATTAGATTTCTTCTCCCACCCGGTGTTTCAGGATAAGCAATTAACACAATTAACCACTTTAGATAGATTGCAGGTGTTACTGAACCTGTCTGTGTGCCTCTCTCAGGAGAGAAGGAGACCTGATTTCCAAAAATGGAGCATGATTCAACAGAGTTAATGTTTTTTTGTGTGCACACCTATGTATTTACACATGAGACAATTCTACAAAAGTTTTTCTATTGCCAGGTGTCATCTCCTCTCTGATCAAGATAGGGAATGTTTTTTTTAAGTTTGGTGGCAGTGTTTAACATTTACAGGGCCGTCTTTAACGCGGGGCAAACGGGGCAGCTGCCCCGGGCCCAGTTGCTCCTGGGGGCCCAGAGCAGCTGCTCTGTGGGCCCCACGATTTGCGCAGCCCCTGCGGTGCGGCTCCCGCACACTGAGGAGGCTCCCCGGGTGGCCCATTCACTAAGGGCCACCCGGGGAGCATGTGTCAGCAGGGGCCTGGTCGGGTGCTGTGGCGCTTAAACAGCGCGACCGGGCCCCTCTTCCGGCTCTGCAGCCGGCTGAGAGGAAGTGACGTCACTTCCTCCCACCGGAGATAGCCGCGCGGGAGGAGGAAGGCAGGGAGGAGGGGAGTTCCAGAGGAGAACTCCCATCTGCTTCAGCTTGCCACTGGACCAGGGAAACCACCCTCCAGGAAAAGGTAAGAAACAGGAGGGTGGCTAAATGTATGTCAGTAGGTCTGTGTGTGTGTATGTCTGTGTGTATGCCAGTATGTCTGTGTGTGTGTGTCAGTGTATGTGTGTGTGTGTGTGTGTGTGTGTGTGTGTGTGTGTGTGTGTGTGTGTGTGTGTCAGTATGTCTGTGTGTATGCCAGTATGTCAGTGTGTGTGTATGTAGGTATGTCTCTGTGTGTGTGTGTACGTGTGTGTCAGTATGTCTGCCAGGATATATTTGTGTGTCAGTGTATGTGTGTGTCAGTGTGTATCTGTGAATGTTTTAATGTCTGTCTGTGTGTATGTGCCAGTACGTCTGTCTGTGTGTATGTCAGTATGTCTGTGTGTGTGTGTGTCAGCATGTCTTTGTGTGTCAGTATGTCTGTGTGTGTATGTAAGTATGCCTGTGTGTGTATGTGTGTGTCAGTCAGTATGTCTGTCAGTGTATGTGTCTGTGTGTATGTATGTATGTCTGTGTGTGTGTGTGTGTGTCAGTATGTCTGCCAGGATATATTTGTATGTCAGCGTATGTGTGTGTCAGTATATATCTGTGAATGTTTAATGTCTGTCTGTATCAGCCATTACGTCTGTCTGTGTATATGTCAGTATGCCTGTGTGTGTGTGTGTGTGTATATATATGTCAGTATGCCTGTGTGTGTGTTTCAATGTGTCTGTCAGTGTATGTGTCTGTGTGTTTTAGTATATCTGTCAGTGTATGTGTTTGTGTGTGTGTCAGTATATCTGTTAATGTATGTGTCTGTGTATGTATGTATGTGTGTGTGTCAGTATGTCTGCCAGTATATATTTGTGTGTAGTGTCTGTGTGTGTCAGTATGTATCTGTGAATGTTTTAATGTCTGTCTGTGTGTGTGTATGTGCCAATACGTCTGTCAGTGTGATTGCGGGTTGGGCGTAATTGGGGGGTGAGGCAGTGGCAGGGACAGGGCCCATGGGGCCCAAGAAAATGCATTGCCCAGGGTCCTAATCATATTATAGACGGCCCTGGCTGTAACTACAATGGATCAGGTACTTCAAGCATCATCACTTCCCTCATCCATGTCTGCCCAAGAAGCTGAACTGAAGGCTCTCACCACAGCATGCAAAATGTCTGAAGGAAAACGTGCCAATATCTACACTGATTCAAGATATGCCTTAGGCGTGGCACATGACTTTGGATTAATCTGGACGACAAGGGGTTTCCTTACAGCAACGGGTACACCAGTCAAACATGGTACAGCTATCAAAGAGTTAATGGATGCCCTGTTGCTTCCTGAAGAGGTGGCCATACTGTAGGTAAAGGCTCATGGGAGACTGAACTCAGAGGAAGCATGTGGCAACTACCTAGCTGACCAAGCTGCCAAGGATGCTGCTTGTGCGCCAAAGGAAGTGGACAGAAGAGTGTCCGTTGAGGAAACCCCCTATTCACTATGCAGACTTTGCCTACAGATCTCAAATTCCTAAAAGAACTGCAGGCAGCTGCTAACCCCGACGAAAGACAGAGCTCGAAACAGAAAGGAGCAACTCTCCAAGATGGAATATATACCATTAATCTCAAGTTCTGCTTACCTAAAACCATGTACCCAGCAGTAGTCCAGTGGGCTCATGGAGCAGCACATCTGTCCAAGAACCTCATGAACTCCCTGATCAACAAATACTTTGAAGCACCAGGCATCACTTCCCTAACTAAGAAATACTACATGTCCTGTACCATCTGTGCCAAGTGCAACTCTGAGAGAACGGAAACAGCTCCCCTCAAGCATCTTGCCAAACCTCAATATCCCTTCCAGGGGATCCAAATCGACCATATTCAGATGCCGAAAAGTGGCCGGTATGAATATGCACTAGTCATAGTGGAAATGTTCTCAGGATGGCCAAAAGCTTTTCCCGTCACCAACATGACAGCCATCAAGGATAGTTGATTTAGTGCTTATTGTAGTTGTTTAGTAAATAGTCATTTTAAGGGGGGACTGTTATGGACGTAAATTAGAATTAGTAAAATGCCTATTTACTCATACATACTCATATCCAATATTTACTCAAAATGGCTACTAGAAGCAACCCCTTCCATCGACTAACTATCTTGTGTAAAAAGATGGCGCTGGAATTCGGAGTAAAATACCGTGATGACAGTGACATCACGCCTTGTAGGATTTGCATTAGATAAAACACTTAACACCTAATCAATTATTGATGTATTTTCTCTGTTATCTATAATTTTGCATATCATGTATTCTTGCTTTATAAGGGGCATGCCGGCCCCCTGAGTAAACATTCCTGAAGTTCTTTCATCAACCAGAAACTTTTGTCCGGTGTGAATTTACTTTAGGAGCGTGCAAGCATTAAATATCTATAATTTGGCTAAGGGCAGATATTCAAATCAAACACTTGGTTTGGTCCACTACACATGTAGAAAATCTTCCATAGACTTTGCATGGTCCACCTCAGCCATATTCTGCATGGGCAAGTTGTCTGTGGCCATCTTAAGACATATGAATGTGAAAAAATCTCAAAAAAAAATCCCCAGAGTCCTTGAATACCAATATTCCTCCAAAGGGAGGACTAAGATGACCTTCACAGGTGAAAGGGGGTAGAATGGGGACCAGGAGAGCAATGTTGAGTATATCAGTGATGAATTCTGTGAAGGGATGAGTAGCTTCCCCACCACAAGCACTCACAAGTCACAAAATGTTGGAGCCACCAGCTCACCCCAACTAACAAAGA